CTCTGTGAAATATTCTGTTTTGACCATGCTGTCTTCAGAATGCCCTCTATTTAATATGTATAAACCTAATCAGTGCACAAAAAGTCCACTTGGCAAATAAGATTATCAGCCTACCGGCAATGTAAATGTTCTTATGGTAGATTTTATTCATCAGTTTTTAAGAAGTGATGAATATGAAAAGGTTGAAGCATTGTCTGTACCCATACCATCTCCTGCTGTGATCCTGTCAAACTGCATGAACTATATTGGCTTGAGCTTAGCCAGTTCTTGGAAGAATGTCCACCGATAAACATTTCAAGCTGTCAGCAGTGAGTACGTACTTGAGTGGGTGGGTGGTAGTGCAACAGGAGGCACTTTTTCCTTTGAATTGGTATTTACCTAAGGTCCCAATGCAGAGGAACAAATGGTCAGCCTGAGAGATATTTGGCCTGGTTTTCCAGTCCTTCACTTTTGTAGATAGGTAGCACGGGTATAGAACAATATCAAGTCAGAATGATAGTATTTGCAACCACTTTGCACAGATAACTTCAAAGCTAGGGGCAAAAATGACACACAAACCAGTATAAGTGATCAGAAACTGGTTCAAATCTGTTACACAACAGACGTTTCAGTGCACATAAACCACTTTGAAAATGGCTGAAACCAGTTTAAGATAAACCTGGATTCAGTATCAGACTTAACTGATTTACATTAAACGAGTCTATGGTACTTCTAATCCAGATCTCTTCTAGATTCAAGTTAACTCACAATTTCCCAGCATCCGAACCTCCTTGTGACAAGAGCACCTTCCAGGCACAGTACTAGTATGGCCCCACCCTTGTCTCTGGGCAAACCGCCTGCCTTGTTTGCTTGCCACGCCTTGTTGATAAACGATTGTGATGAGGATAGGCAGGAGGCTGCCTTTCGTGAGCCTAAATGACCATGGGCGATAAGTACACATTCCTACCATCCCTACATGTGTCCCATGCCTCGCTGATGTTTCCTCCAGCTAGGTAGCACTAGGACCCAAGCTCCGGAGTCTCACATGGCACTCTCATTCCCCACCAGAGCTTGAGGTCCCAGTGCCCTCACAGATGTTTTCTTCAGTGGTTTGCACTGGGTTCTTCCTTTAGACGGACAAACATACACATATACATAAACACACACTGAGCCCCTGGCCCCACACACTGGGCTCCTAACCCTTGGTTCCCCCTCACTGGGGCTCCTCTGGGGTCTTCCACCCCATGGGGCTCAGGTGGCTGCAGCCATGCCTGGCCCCTTAACCCTGGGGCCTTACACCCTGTGAGGCTCAGGGGGCCGCAGCCGTGCCTGGCACCCTCTCCGGGCCTCTGCAACCACAGGACTCACAAAGAGCCTGGGCGCTGTTCCAGGTCCCTCCACTGACCTGGGCCCTGCCTCAGGACTCCCGAGCCTGGGCTCCCCCTGTGTAGATCGAACCCACCAGGGATGTGGGGGATGGGGTTTTCAGGTGCCCCTCCTCACCTTTCATTGGGGAGGTAACTGGCCTGGCATTTCTGGGGAACTACCCTGCCACAGGTAGCTCCACCAGGCCACCCTTCCCTGGGAGGGTGCATGACCAAGACCAATGAGGCCTCCTCCTTCCCCATAGCCTCACCCTTTACTTCCGAGGTGTTCCAGGCGCAGCTCAACCTGATGTTGCCTCCTTGGCTGCTCCAGCCAGACTGCTGCCTTTCTGGCCTAAGTTTGAAAATGGCCACAACAATCAGCCACCTGGCAGCTGCCCGCTCCAGCCCTTAAGGTGATGGGAGCACTGTCACAATCCCCTGCAACCCCCATCCTCACCAGGCTGGTGGGCTTGTCTTAAACCCAGGCTGTCTGCTCCAGCCAACCAGGGAGGTGTGCTCTAATGCTCCCCAGCTTCTGGCCTGAGCTACCACAGGTATGTGGCTGCATTTCCAGAATCAAAAGTGAATGTCTGTTCACTTATTGGTTCAATCTATGCAGTTTAGACTAACCTGTGAAGATTGATTTGATTCAGCCTCAGGCTTTTTGACTTTCTGTACTTAGCCCACGAGGTTCAAGAAAATCAATCCCACTGAGCTTTGAATGGAATAGAAAACCTCTTCCTATCCATACTTGTAGTCACTGTTTTTAGTTTTGAGAAAACTTTTAGATAAAGAATTATTCTTAGTAAGAAATTAGGGTTACAAACCAAATAATTTTAAAAGTTCATAGATAGCTAACACTACCTTAGTCTCAAAAATATTTCAGGACTGCTTTTTTTACAGGCCAGCCTATGCAGAGCTATATTAAATCTTATAGTAATTACTAAAAAGAAATATTACTTGAAAGAGACTATAAATAACAGTGCAGTATTATTACAGCTTCTGTTTTATAGTCATTATCATCTATCATTGCAAATATCTTCATTGTATAGCAATTTTTCCTTTTGAAAAGTTGCATCTTTTCTGTGAATAAATATTTTCCCTTTCTTGTAATGTCTTGGCAATTTATTTCTTGACTTGTTTACCAATACAGCAAACTTGTCAGGATTTTAAAACTAATGTGAAGGGAATACTCTGTTCATACAAGCACCGTCCTGGAAACCCATAGTACCATGGCTCAGATGTTACAAAGAGAAGCAGAAATTGTTAGAGGCAAGCAGACAGAGAACAAAATGTTCAGTAGCCTTTTTTTCCCCTGAATGCAGCAGACTACATAAAGCTCATAAGATCAGAGTCCTTCTGTTTCATGATTCTGGGACTGCAGAATTTGTCATCAGATCCCTTGCCTCAGGTATGTTGTCTAGAATCTAAAGTTTCACTAAAAAACATAACCAACTAACCAAAAATCCCTGTTTTCAATCTTCATTGGCCTTTTAAAGTTTTTTTCTTTAACTATTCCACTGTTGCACTACTATTAAGCAGTTTCTACAGGTGGTAGCAATGTGTAAGAGCTCTATGTGGATCAGCTGCCAGCATTCATACCATTGTATTGTCTAACTTTACTGGCTGGAATTGATGAAAGCTAAAGATTATTTCAGGGACAATGTAATTCCTGGGGTTTCACCCTGGTGACCTAAACAAATGTATAGGGATTTTTGACAAAAGGCATCATTAGATCTTTATTGTCCGCGAAAAAAATTCTAAAAAACATCTCGGATGTATTAAACTGCACACAAAATAACCCCCCTTCCTGGGTTTGCTACTCCTGTCAGAGTTTATATTGTAGAATCCATATTTCAAAGATTCATAAATAAAGTGTAACACTTACAAAACAATTCTCAGAGATGAGCCTATGAACTTCACTTCATCAACCTCCTGGATACAAAAAATCATGGTCTAAATATAGACATTGGATTTATGACACACTATAACCTGTCTGACATCTGACTTCCCAGGTACCACTCCACTATTCATCCCCCTTCTCTCCCCACAACCCAGCCTGTCTCTCACCCACTGACTCCTCAATTTACATCTTCACTGACTGCCTGTCTTGTATGCATACCAGCCCAGCCTCTGGCTTCTTTACCTTTTGTTCCATCCAGGAAGAGCTCACACCAACTGCAGACTTCCTCAGCCTGATGAAGGGTTTTTAAACCCTAAAGCTTGCTAAAAATTTTTTCCAACTATTTAAGTTGGTCTAATAAAAGATATCAGATTCATCCAAAGAACCTTGTCTGCTTATGTCCTTAGATCAACACGACTACAACCTACACCCCTGTAACATTTACTCTGGAATATTCAGCCTGCAGTACAAAAAAATAGTGGTAAACTGTATCTCATAGCAAAATCAGTAAATTTTCTCAGTAATATCAACAAATATCAACCTCCCTTATCTAACAGGGACTCCACATGCAAAGAGAAACATTTTTCCCCCAAAATGGACAAAAACAAAGGGAATGTAATAAATAGCTTTATTTTTACACTGGATATGTTAAAGACCACTTTCAGCCCTCAAGAGTAAGTTCCAAAAGACATTAACTTACACAGACTACTTCTTACTGCATTATAATACAAAACATTTCTTTTACAATCAATCCACTATAATACTATATTTTCTGTCATACAACATGCACGTCCCCCACATTAAATATGCACCTTGTTTTTGGGAGGCAGACTGTCAAAAAAAGATGTTTCCAGAGTCATGGCTGGCTCTGTGACATAGAATAACTTCTCCTGGAAGCATGAAAGAATTGTCCAGGACATATGGTATCTCAGAAGACAATATGGGGGAGGTATCAGGCAAAGGAATTCTCTGGTGCAGCAGAAAGCTCCTGCTGCCTCACCCAGACTATAGCCTGGGATACCATACCTCCTGGACGCTCTTATGTTCCCAAGAGGACTTACTCTTTGTCACACAAGGTTAGGCCCCAGACCCTTGCAAGGGCAGTAGAAGGACTATTAGCACTTTACTGTAAGTAGTTCTTCATATAAGTTCCCGTAAATAACAGTGTCGTCCACATCACAATTCTCATCACAATACCACCAGTTGCTCACTTGCTGCTTCAGGCACAAGCTACAGTGCTCAGTCAATAGCTGTGGATATGAGAGAGTTAACATAGGACTTGGCCCTTTAAGCTTGCTGAGTGGGACAAGCGGCAGCCATCTGGGCAGCAGCATGGAACGCCAAGTGTCTTCAGACATGCTTCTTCTCCAACACAGAAAACAGCTTTCCCAATTAATACAGGCACCCCGATTTTGGGATGCTGATTTTTGGGGAAAAGGTGCATGTTGTATATGAGAAAATATTTATGTCGTCTGCATGAATTGCTTATGGCTTTCATTTATTTTAAAGTAATTATAGTTTTGTAGCTGTGTTCACTGTCATTACAACAAACCAGACACTTTTCATTAAAAGCTACATATCAGTGCTCATAACTGTTTTCAAATTCTTTTCTTCTATTTAATTACTTTGTGCCTGATCATTTTATGTTAGACATTTTTAGAATATCCAGCCACAGCTAGCTCTTAAATACAAAGTAGAATTATATGAATTATGAAACGATTTGCTGTTTAACTATAACAGTAAAAGCCCTATTTGTTAAAAAATGGACATCACAAAAGAATAATAATGCTTTCACAACTTTTCTTCAGTTTTCCAATTTCTATTTTAAGTTTATTAGCAAGATTTAGCTCCATAGTATTTGATTCGAATGTTTTTACAAATCCGACAGGTTATTTCATTGTTTGGACTATATGTTCCAGGATCACAAACCACTGCAAATCAAACAAACATATATTAGTTCAGTCAGATGTCCTCTGCATTACATTGTATTGTGCACATTCAATCTTTGATTAATCATATTCATTAGATCAAATGCAAGGTATTGCACCGGGGAGGAAGAACCAGCAGCATACCTACAAGCTGGGGAACTCCCTTCTTGTCAGCACCGAGGCAGAAAAGGATCTTGGAGTCGCTATTGATTGCATGATGAACATGGGCCGACAGTGTGGGGACACAGTCAGGAAGGCTAACCGCACCTTGTCATGCATCCACAGATGCATCACGAGCAGGTCCAAGGAGGTGAATCTCTCCCGCTATGTGACATTGGTCAGGCCGCAGTTGGAGTACTGTGTCCAGTTCTGGGCACCGCACTTCAGGAGGGATGTGGACAGCATGGAGAGGGTCCAGATGGGGACCACTCACAAGATCAGGGGGCAGCAGGGCAGGCTCTGTGAGGAGAGGCTATGGGACCCGAACCTGTTCAGCCTTCACAAGAGAAGGCTGAAAGGGGATCTGGTGGACGTCTACAAACTTGCCAAGGGGGACCAGCAGGCAATGGGAGAGTCCCTATTCCCCCAAGCACTACCGGGAGTAACAAGGAACAATGGCCATAAACTGACTGAGAGTAGATTCAGGCTACATATCAGGAGGCGCTACTTCACAGTCAGGTTGGCCAGGAGCTGGAATCAACTTCCAAGGGAAGTGGTGCTCACTCCTACCCTGGGGGTCTTCAAAAGGAGGCTAGACAATCACCTAGCCGGGGTCGTTTGACCCCAGCATTCTTTCCTGCCCATAGCAGGGAGTCGGACTTGATGATCTGCTTAGATCCCTTCCAACCCTGCCAACTATGAAACTAGGAAACTACACCATTGTTTGCATGCTGTGTATTTCCCATGGAGCCAAATGATTATGCAGAGAGAAACAACATTGCTGAATTGAATCTACTTTGTATCAGTTACTGTTCATTTCATATTACATTGCTCAGTAGTGTAACTTGTTGTGGGGACAAGTGGGGTATCAGCCCCAGGCACTGATTCAGAGGGGGTGCCAAAATGGCATCCCACACGGAGCCCACAACATCACCACCACAGCTCACAGCGCTGTAACAGCAGCCCATACCACTGCCACCCCTGCATGAAGGGTAAATGCTCACTTCACCTCTCCCACCCTGGCCCTGCACAACACTCAGGCACCAAAATTTTAAGTCATGTCTCTGACATTGCTATATGTCTATAGTACCCTTTGGGTAGCTCTATCTAGAAACTATATTAATTCTGTTGAGATCAACATGCTCTGCTTAACTTCAAAGCAAAAAGAGTCTGAACCAGGACTACTGAATCAGACAGTATGGGCTAAATTCTATTTCACCTTTACACTCCTAAGTGACATTAATATAGATCTGTAAATGCGGTTTTGGCACTTATGCAGAGTTTGGATTTTATTTCTACCTTCAGAAACATAGTATGGTCCAATGATATGCGTACCTGCCAGGAGGAGGGCCCTCCCACCTTTAGCCCAAAAACGTAGCAGTTAGTGCACTTCCCCTGGAAATGGGAGACTTATGCCCTAGGTCTTTCACCCAAAGGGATTTGAACCTGCATCTCTCACATTCCAGCAAAGTGTTCTAACCATTGGATAATGAGTTAGGCATGTCCCAAAACACTCGTCAGCCCTCCTCTTGAAGTTGGCCTGCTGTGCATCATGGAGGCAAAAACATGTGGGGCCAGGTGGAGGCATGCAAACTAGAGGAAGGGTGGCTCAGTGAAATGGATGCTGCCCTGGAAAAGAAGGGGCCCTGCTCTTGCCCCTGACCCAACAGCTTTTCTGCACCTTTGTATATATTTTTTGTCCCACTGGGGATAAGAGCCATGGCCGGAACACATTTCCATCTAGGTCAGCATCCATTTCACACAACCACCATCAGTGTAGCTTAAATACTTACTCTTCCCCCATGTCTTCCCCTCCTGGCTGTCCAAAGAAAAGGGCTAAACAGCACACTAACCAATGTGGGGGGGCTAGCCTTTTTGGCAAGAGTGCTCCAGCTCGCCCCAAGTCCCACCCTGATTCCTGTCCCCCCAGAGGCATACTTGATTGAGTTTGCACCATGGACTGCCAGAAAGGAGGCAGTGGGGCTTGAGTCTCTGACCTCATCACAGGAAGATGTTGTGAGAGGAGGTGTCAATGCCAAGAGCCAGGTTAACCCTTCCCTGGTCCTACAACCAATCTAATTTTATATGACAATCGAGGATCCAAAGCCTTTAATTTAGCAGCAGCTATGGGGCCAGGCAAGTCTCAGCTTGCCTCATGGCAGTGACACTTCCTCTCACAGAAGTGTCCTCCTACTGCTCCGCTCTGCATGGCCAGGGACTGGCACCCCCTGCCTCCATTCCAGTGTCCACTACCTGGGCTCTCATTCCACACACAGTGGCTGCTTGTGGCACATGTGCTGTAGGTTGGTCACCCTTGTTTTACTGCTTTGCATTTCTTGGGTTGAGAATTAAAAAGAAAAATTAAGTAAAAGCATGTTTTTTAAACATTTTAAAGAGGCTGGGAAAACCACTGGTCACACATGGGGTCTTTGGCGAGATGGTCTCAGGGGTGGGAGGTTCCATGTCCCTTGTAAGCTGCAATAGCGTTATTATTTTATGGCTACAGTTGTAACAGGCAGCCTTACCCTGTGACAGTCTCAGCAACTCACGAGCCTGCATCTAAAGATATTTTCAGTGATGGGCTTGCCATGTGCCCAGTAACAGTTTCAGGGCCTACACTTTCCATGGGCCAGAACAGGCAGGGCCCTGCCTTCCTGACAGGGTGCTGCCTTCAGCACCATACACTCTGTACCAACTGGTAGCTCCATGCCCAGGGATGGAGCAACACTGCATGGCCTCATAAGGTGGCATCTTCAGAGACCATAATACCAATAATGTGCCTTGCACCCTTGGGCAACTGCATGCCAGAGGCTGTTTGCAGGGTGTCACTAGGGTCTCTTAGAGCAGCCTCCATCCCCCTTCCTTCAGCAGGC